ACAGAAGCATGGTTGGAGAGAGATATTATTGAAAGGCCTATAATCTGTGGAGTCCATGATTTGATGCATGAGATCATACTTAAGACAGACTGACTATTGAAATTTTCAGTAGATTATTATCTGTTGAACGACAAAATGGATATAAGTTAGCTCAAGAAACTTAACTTTTCAACAGGTAATAATCTACTGAGATTTTCTGTTTGCTCATGTTATTGTAATAGTTGTTTTGTTTGGTAACTTGTATCCATTATGTCGTTCAACAGATGCTGATATCTTTTCTTTCTCTTCGGATTGTTTTGCACTCTCTACGGAATCTTATTAGTGGCTACTTTCATTGAAGGCTCAACGAAGCATGCACGTTCTTGTATGGAGTCGGGGTCAGATTATAATAGTTGGAATTGTCCTAGAGATACTATACAGTTTCTGCAATTATAGCGTATTGTCCTTTGGGTGTAAGCCAGTGAATTGTTGGAGTTTCCTGAAGATGTAAAAGCTAGCCTTTTTCCGAGTGTTTATTGACCAACCTTTCAGAGTTCAGACATTTAATGGTCAATGTTGGACTGTGTTCAATGAAATAAGATGAAAATTCTGGGATATTGTGTGGGATGGTGGAGTAGTCCCTAAATGGGTTCAACCCATTGATATTAACAACTACCATTAAGGCTTCAGCAGAATCGGGCTGTCGGCAAGTCCATATGGTATACAGTATAGGGCCCGTATTGGAAGCATTCTCATTTCTCACCCAGCTGCATCAGTCAAATTGATTCCAGGTCCAGTTGAGCTCAAGGAATACGTTACTTCAACTTTATTTAATAGTTCAAACTTTCCCAACATAAAACCATATCCATTATTATATATTTATTTGGTTAGATATGTATGTGTTTTCAAAGTTGGCATATAAGATAGGGTCTCTTTTGAAAATTGATCTCCACACATTTGTTTAATTATTTTTATGGGCTGGTTGAATAAATAGCGTTATTCTTTTTTTTAAACTTTGAATTATGGTTTAAGAATTGATTGGCCGAAACCAATTAAGAATCAGAACGGAAAGAATGTAATATATATGAATTCATATGTGGTACGACAAATGGGGGATAGTATGGTTAGACGTACAGTCTCAAGTTTGATTCCTTATTCGAGCATCCACGATTTAAATAAGGGACCGTAGCGATGGGTTGTTACGTTAGTTTTCCTCGAAGATTAGTCAAGATGCGTATAAACCGATATGGGTAAATTCAGAATGAAACTAGTATTTATAAAGAACAAATTAGTGTGCAAGCTATACATCATTAGAAAGCTCTTCCAGTTAACTTTCTAAAGCTTTCTAATGTATTCTACAATGTTGAATTTGGAGTTTTCTAGAAAAACTTACGATCGAATATCACAACTCTAAGTCAGATAACAACTATAAGAAGATGGAATTCCTTTAACTTTTTGAAGTTTTGAGTGATGAATTGATTGAATGGATAGCTAATTTCACCCAACAACCAAGTGATATAATTGCCATTTTCATCTCTTTGTACCAACCAAGCACCAAAACCTTCCAAACGTTTACCTAATGGAATCAAAATCAAATCAACCTTCCAAACGTTTTCACATATTCTATCATTACCATGGATTGTGTGAACATAACTTGTAATGTAACCTACCTTAATTCACTCGCTATTTCCATTATTTATATATATATATATATATATATATATATAGCTAGGTTGGGTTAGGACATATGGGGTTTGCTTAAGCTTTCAAAAGGTTACATTATTAATTATGTAATCCATGACCCATCTAAATTCCTTAACTCACTCACTATTTCCATATAAAAACACCTTTCAATAATATATATATATATGTTAGGTTAGGACATATGGGGTTTGCTTAAGCTTTCAAAAGGTTACATTGGGTTAGGCTATTAATTATGTAATCCATGACCCATCAAAAATTCCTACACCGACACTCTGTGGCCTTCCGATTGAGTTCTTTACCATAGCATCAGGATCGGGACACGTGTACGGTTATTATTATTATTGTTTATAGATTTATATGTAATTAATTAATAAGGTGGGCTGTGTCAATCAATCAAAGCCAGCACATTGAATATGTACAGAATCAGCAATCATAAATGGAAGAAGCTAGTGGACAATCTAGATGATCGCATGAAATTCAACGTCTATTACACGTGTCAAATCATAGCGGTTATTGATGTACGAAAATCAAACTCTTACGTCTTCTTGAGATCAAAAATAAGTTTATATAATTACAAGATGTGTGTATCTCTCACTCTCACTTGTCATTCTCTTCCTCATCGCTTTAATTAATCAAACTCAATAATATTCTGAGAGCGAGGTTCAGAGTTCAGAGTCAGATCTGAGCAACCCCACCAGCCAGCCATGGGGGAGAAGGTTTGGGAAATCTTATCTTTCTTATAATTTAAACATACCCATCTCATTTATTTGTTCGTTAATATATATCTTGATTGTTTAATGTTGCAGAAAGTTGTGATGATGAGGTTGAAGGTTGACCTTCACTGTGAGAAGTGCTACAGGAAAGTGAAGAGAGTGCTGTGTAAATTCCCTCGTGAGTTGTCTTTAATTCTGTTCATCAATTCTTTTTGTTGATGAATTTGAAGTAGGTATTTAATGTAGAAGGAATGTTTGATTTTTGTGAACAAGATCAGAAATACAAGACCAGGTGTATGACGAGAAGCAGAACACAGTGACGATCAAAGTGGTGTGTTGTAGTCCTGAGAAGATCAAGCAAAAGATTTGCTGCAAAGGTGGTGATTCCATCAAGAGTATTGAAATTCTACCTCCACCCAAGCCTCCTGAAAAACCTAAACAACCCGAGAAGCCAAAGGAACCTCCAAAGCCGAAAGAACCTCCAAAGCCTGCACCCCCACCCCCACCGGCACCGGCACCGGCACCCCCACCGGCACCGGCACCGGCACCGGCACCCCCACCCCCACCGGCACCGGCACCGGCACCCCCACCCCCACCGGCACCGGCACCGGCACCAGCGCCCGCACCCCCACCCCCACCAGCACCAGCGCCCGCACCCCCACCAGCACCGTGCTTCCCACCGCACCCGGCACCGTGCTTCCCACCAAACCCGGGTGCAACGTGTTGCAGGGAATGCTACGAGGGGCGTGGAGGGGGGCCATGTTACCAACTAGGTAACTATGGACCGCCAAGATATTATGACGGATATTGCGGGAGGCCGGTGTATGATAGCTGGGGTGGAGGTCGCGGTGGCGGTGGCTATTGTTACAAAATTAATAGATGTGATTACTTTTGCGAAGAGAATCCTAATGCAGCTTGCACAATCATGTAAAAGCAATGGTAGTGCATGCATCATTTGTCGTTGTCTTTGAGCTAGCTGGTTTCACTATAGTTACGTTGTTTGGTGGGTTTTGGGTTTGGTTTTTAATTCAAATGTTGTATAGGACAATAAAGATAAAAATAAGGTTGGAGATGTTATTATACTTCAATTATCGACTAATAAAAAGTTAATCCATTGTTAATTTCATTTTAATTGCTTCAAATGTCATATCATATATCTCTTTTTGTTAAAGAGTGTGGTCGGTTATGTAGTGGTGTCATATTCTTACTCCTTTATATAACATTCATATATCAAATTTATTGTATATACAATTACCTAATTAAGTAATACTTGTTGAGTGATTGTATTTGTCCTGTCTCCCTCGACAAGAAGAATTGGAATACTAACCGACTTTCGTTGCAGGGTACTGAGGAATTCGAATGGTTAGGACATCATACGGTAAAAAATCCAAACACAATATTTGCATATGGTTTAATATAACTCGTCTATTATTATAGTTTCATGAATACGATATATAATAGTATATAACATTATAAATCTTGTATATAATTAACAAAACAGAAATTATCATAATTTTTAATTCTACATCTGGTGTTTAAAAACCTTTACATCAAATAATTTTGATATATTTATAGATAGTATATGAGATATTTTATTTTAATTTTTAATAGAATTCTAATAATTTTACATGAATAAATAAGGAAACGAATCACAATATCTAAATAATATTTCCACACGTTCTATGTTGAAATGATCCATATTTTTAGTGTTGGGTATGTACCTTTTCATGATCAGTATCTACTTTGTCAGATTCACAAAAGGGTTTTTGGATTATTAAAACATTTCACTTCACAAATCATTTTTTTAAAATTCTAACTTGCGTCCGAAGGATAGTTGGTACAACATGTTCTCCATTAATACTTTTTCCACAGTGCATTTCCTTTTCCTCCACTTTCTAACTATTTTCCCCCTTTTGTATTACTTTAGTGATGTGTACTAAGATTGAATAGGTGTATACTTTCTATACTAAATAGACATGTTGGGTGCCATTAAATTATATATTGTTTTATTATAAAGAATGTTATATTAATAGAAAGATAGATCGTCTTGAAGATTATTGTAAATGTTTAGGAAAATGTATTTGGTTGGTTTGAATAAATTGGTGAGTACGTTATATTTATATGTTTGGTGAGGATGATAAATGAGTGAATATGTTATATAAATTATTAAATTATATTTCTTTTTAAATATTAATATAATATTAATTTTATTATTATTTTTGAATCATTTCTTTTAACCTCCTATATTTGGAATTTTGTACTAAGATTGACAAAACTTTAATTTGTAGACACTTTTAGCAAAGTTTAATTTGTAATAAAGGTTATATAGACTTGTCTTTTCTAATTAAACTTTACGATAATTTTATATTGATTCTTGTATCAATCATATTGTTAATTAATTTTTAAAACGAAATACATGTATTAAATTAGTGTAGAAAAATCGAAAACAAATCATCGAGAGAACATGAAGAAGGAAAAGGATTGAACCAGACACAATTCTCCTCTCACCATGTGGAAAAGAAGCCAGGGATCGATTATTTTGGTTTGGTTGATTCATCAATTTACAGAAATCTTATCTTTCTTATAATTTAACCATACCCATCTCATTTATTTGTTTGTTAATATATATCTTGATTGTTTAATGTTGCAGAAAGTTGTAATAATGAGGTTGAAGGTTGACCTTCAGTGTGAGAAGTGCTACAGGAAAGTGAAGAGTGTGCTGTGTAAATTCCCTCGTGAGTTGTCTTTAATTCTGTTCATCAATTCTTTTTGTTGATGAATTTGAAGTAGGTGTTTAATGTAGAAGGAATGTGTTGAAGCATTGATAATTTGCTGGAAAATTCAGTTAAGTTAGTTTGTTTTTGAATTAGTTTCTTGGGGCCAAGTAGCAGTTGCATTCCCTTGTTTCCTGCTGAAACTGAAGCTGCTGGAGTTGTTCTGGAGTTGTTAATTTTGTGTCATGTTTAGGTGTAATCAGTGTAAGATAAGTGTGCATTAAGTTACCAACTTTGTTTTTGAAATTTAAAATCTGAATGGTTGTTGTAGTTGGTAAAACAGTAAGCCTTGTTGTGTATATATTGCAAGTTACAGTGTAATGAAATACAGCAGTTCACTTTCTGCATTTTTTCTCCTTTTCTTTCTTAGAGTTCTCCGGCCAAATACCAACAGAATGTTTGATTTTTGTGAACAAGATCAGAAATACAAGACCAGGTGTATGACGAGAAGCAGAACACAGTGACGATCAAAGTGGTGTGCTGTAGTCCTGAGAAGATCAAGCAAAAGATTTGCTGCAAAGGTGGTGATTCGATCAAGAGTATTGAAATTGTACCTCCACCCAAGCCTAAAGAACCGGAGAAACCAAAAGAACCCGCCAAGCCTAAAGAACTTGAAAAGCCTAAAGAACCGGAGAAGCCAAAAGAACCTCCAAAGCCGAAAGAACCTGAAAAGTGTAAACCGGCACCGGCACCGGCACCCCCACCAGCACCAGCACCAGCGCCTGCACCGACACCCCCACCAGCACCATCGCCCGCACCCCCACCCCCACCAGCACCAGCACCAACACCAGCACTAGCGCCTGCACTCGCACCCGCACCCGGCACCGTGCTTCCCACGAAACCTGGGTGCAACGTGTTGCAGGGAATGCTACGAGGGGCGTGGAGGGGGGCCATGTTACCAACTAGGTAACTATGGACCGCCAAGATATTATGACGGATATTGCGGGAGGCCAGTGTATGATAGCTGGGGTGGAGGTCGTGGTGGCGGTGGCTATTGTTACAAAATTAATAGATGTGATTACTTTTGCGAAGAGAATCCTAATGCAGCTTGCATAATTTGTCGTTGTCTTTGAGCTAGCTGGTTTCACTATTGTTACGTTGTTTGGTCGGATTTGGGTTTGGTTTTAACCTTTTAATACAAATGTTGTATAGGATAATAAAAGATAAAAATAAGGTGGGAGATGTTATTATACTTCAGTTATCAACTAATAAAAAGTTATCATTTACTAGCTGGTGTTTAAAAACCACGTCAAATTATTTTTTTATATTTATAAATAGTGTATGAGACATTCTATTTTTATTAAGATCTATATTTTAATTTTGAATAAATAGAAAAATGAATTATAATATTCAAACAATATTTAGGCACATTTTATGTTGAAATGATCCATGTACTTAGTGATTGGGAATGTATCTTTTCATGATCAGTATCTACTTTGTCAGATTCACAAAAGGGTTTTGGATTATTGAAACATTTCACTTCACAAATAATTTTCAAAATTTTAACTTGCGTCCGAAGGATAGTTGGTACAACATGTTCTCCATTAATACTTTTCCATAGTGCATTTCCTTGTCCTCCACTTTCTAAATGTTTCCCCCCTGTTGTATTAATTTAGTGATGTGTACTAAGATTGAAGAGGTGTATACTTTCTATACCTAGATAGACATGTAAGGTGCGTTTATATTATATAATGTTTTATTATAAGAAGATGTTATATTAATAGAAAGATAGATTATCTTAAAAATTATTGGAAATGTTTAAAAAAATATGTTCAATGCCGTCTCAAGAACATTTGTGACCCTAGACAAGAGTTACTTTGGGACCCTTTTAATAATATAAGCATATATTAAAAAATTATTTAAAATTTATTTTTCTTACCTTTTGAGATGCAAAATCACTAATTAAATTTTTATATTCAAGTTTAGAAACCAAATCTTTTTCAATTGATAATATAGCAAAATTACCTAATCTTTCTTGTGAGGGCGAACGGTGGATGACGAGCTATTGGGGTCAGGTAAGTGAGGGGTTTTAGGGAGGAGGCTGAGGGGACGAAGATGGTGGTGTCGAAGAAGGTCAATGATAGCAAATATATGCCGGAAATGACTATTGCACACGGTGAAGAATTAAAATGGGTTGCGAAAATTGGCCAAATTGGGGGTTGTCAAGGCTGGGAAAATGTTTCGGAAATGATTAAGTGATGAATCTGGTCGATTTTGGTGAGAAAATTGACCGGAATCATCACTTTAATGCTGACAGTGACACTATGGTGGTGTAGTGGGGTGGAGATGCAATGTTTTCATCATTTTAGGGATTAAATGGATGTTTTGAAATTTTAGACATTTAAATAATTAGTTTAGTTAATTTAGGGGTGTGAATGGAAAATATGAAACATGGTTTTTTTTTTTTGTAAATTTATGTAAAAAAATTATAATGAATTTGGGCATTTTTGCCTTTTTTTAGGCCATTTGACCGGTTTGGATAAAAAATTATAAACTTTTTTAGGCCCAATGGTATTTTTATAAATCTATTTAAAAAAATTTTAAAATAATTTTGGGTTCCTTTTTGGGCCTTTTTTTTGGGGGGGCCTAGGCAGGTGCCTCACCTGCCTACCCCTTGGGCGAGTTCTGAATGTGTTTGGTTGATTTGAATAAATTGGTGAGTATGTTATATAAATTATTAAATTGTTTTTCTTTTTTAATATTAATATAATATTATTTTTATTATTGTTTTTTGAATTTTTTTTTTTAATCCCCTACCTTTGAAATTTTGTAATAAGATTCACAAAACTTTAATTTGTAAAATTTTTTAGCAACGTTTAATTTGTAATAAAGGTTATATAGACTTGTCTTTTCTAATTAAACTTTACGATAATTTTATATTGATTCTTGTATCAATCTTATTGTTAATTAATTTTTAAAATGAAATACATGTATTAAATTAGTGTAGAAAAATCGAAAACAAATCATCGAGAGAACATGAAGAAGGAAAAGGATTGAACCAGACACAATTCTCCTCTCACCATGTGGAAAAGAAGCCAGGGATCGATTATTTTGGTTTGGTTGATTCATTAATTTACAGAAAGTGATGTTTTTGGTTGCTATAAGGATTGATTGGTAAAGGTTCAATGCACTACCACCAGCAAATATTTATCCGAATTTAAAAGAAAATAAATAAACAAATAAATGTAACCCAATAATTTCCATCCTAGCTATAAATGTTATCTTCCCCACTAATTGACATAAATGTTTCAGTAATTGTGAGTATGGAGTTGGATGGATATCTCATTGTTGCTTTAAGGGACAAATTTCCACATCAATTGTAATGGTCCTCACAATAGTACATGAAATTACTGGTGAGAATAAAGAGGATGCGGGGATGAGGCAGAGAGTAAGTGAAGTCGATTGAAAGGTTTCTTTTTTACATTTAATATACAATTTCTTGATGACAATTCCAATTAGTTGACGCCATTAATAAAGTAGCATAACCACTACCAGCAGCCTCCCTCAAAGTTAATTTATTTGCAGGTCCATCAACCATGTGAACCATGTGCATTTACAAGTTTTCTGATAAAAGTCGCTATCCTTGGTTTGAATATCGGTTGATTGAGGTCATCGAATAAGGCATGGAAAGATCGGTGGCCACTAACTTACTATTATAAGATGGATTAAGGAGGTAATGGATTAATTAATATATATATAGACGGAACCAACTAATTCCTTTATAGTTAAAATAATATTTAGGTGAATTAGAGAAGAAGGTGGAAAAGGGTTGATGGAAAAGACCTGGTGGTATAAGAGTACGATTGTGATTATATTATATAGAATACTTTGTAATATTTGATAATGTGCTTAATTAAAAAGTTTCAGGCAAGATTACTTAACCGTGAACCCTTCAATGATTTTTGGAGTCATTTGGAGGACAGTAAGCCCTACGTCAGTTGGAGAACGTCACCTGACACACAGTCGGGCTTTAATTTTGTAATTAACTCTCCTTAAATTGCAGTTTGGCTTTATATATAAATGATAACCAGTCTTGATCTTTATGCTTTGAGGTTCAGATCTTATCAACACTCTCAAAGATGGCGGAGGTTTGCAAATTAATCTCACCTTCCTTAACTCTCCTCTCTTGTCATTTAATTTTCTTCTAAGTATTTACATTTTCTGATTGATAATAGCAGGGTACGATAATGGTGATCAAAGTTGATCTAAAGTGCTGCAAATGCTACAAGAAAGTCAAGAAAATACTCTGTAAAATCCCCCGTGAGTCTCTTTCTCTGTGTGTATGTTTATATTTGTGCATGAACATGCAAGCTATTGGATTTGATTAATTCTCTTGAACTTTGATATATAGAAAAACAAGATCCAGTTTATAATGAGAAGAAAAACACAGTTACAATAAAAGTGGCGTGTTGCTGCTGCCCTCAGAAAATGATGCAAAAGATCCGCTGCAAGGGCGGTAAGTCAATCATAAGTATAGAAATCAAACCGCCTGAGAAGAAAAACCACCTGATGAGAAAAAAAACCAGATCCCGAACCTAAAGACAAGCATCCTACTAAAGTTGTTGAACTACCACCACATAAGCCACCCAAAACGCTTTTACTGGGCTGTCCGCCGGGCTACGCCCACCTGGTCCCGTTTGGGGAGTGTTGCAGCGAGTGCTCCGAGGGGCGGAGAGGGGGGCCATGTGAACAGCCTGCTCATGGGAGACCTCCATGTTATGGTAGTTATTATGGAAAGCCAGTTTGTGATAGTTGGGCTGGTGGATGTGATTGTGGTTGCAACAGGGGTTATTATTGCAGGAATCGTTGTGGTTATTACTATTATTGTGAAGAAAACCCTTCATCTTGCTCGATTATGTAATCACATTATGCTTCATTGATGCATATGGTCATCGATCAATCTTCTAGTTTGATTATTGTTCTTGGTGGATTGTTAATTACGTGGAATATTCATAGATAAGTTTTTGCTGGTGTGGGGCTGTGGGCTAGTGTCTTTCCCTTTTTTGATAAGTTATTGTGGGCGTGGAAATATATATGTAATCACATTATGCTTCATCGATGCATATGGTCATCGATCAATCTTCTAGTTTGATTATTATTCTTGGTGGATTGTTAATTACGTGGAATATTCATAGATAAGTTTTTGCGGGTGTGGGGCTGTGGGCTAGGCCTTTCCCTTCTTTGATAAGTTATTGTGGGCGTGGAAATATCTATCTATCTATCTATCTATCTATATATATTGTTTAATGTTGCAGAAAGTTGCGAGAATGAGGTTGCAGAAATTTGTGACAAGTGCTACAGGAAAGTAAAGAGAGTGCTGTGTAAATTCCCTCGTGAGTGTCTTTAATTCTGTTCATCAATTCTCTTTGTTGATGAATTTGAAGTAGGTGTTTAATGTAGAAGGAACGTTTGATTTTTGTGAACGAGATCAGAAGTACAAGACTAGGTATTGGACGAGAAGCAGAACACAGTGACGATCAAAGTGGTGTGCTGTAGTCCTGAGAAGATCAAGCAAAAGATTTGCTTCAAAGGTGGTGATTCCTTCAAGAGTACTGAAATTCTACCTCAACCGAAGACTAAAGAACCTGAAAAGCCTAAAGAACCTGAAAAGCCGAAAGAACCTCCAAAGCCGAAAGAACCTGAAGAACCAAAAGAACCTGAGAAGCCGAAAGAGCCAGAAAAACCAAAAGAACCTGAAAAGCCTAAGCCCCCACCGCCACCTGCACCCGCACCAGCACCAGCACCGTGCTTCCCACCGAACCCGGGTGCAACCTGTTGCAGGCAATGCTACGAGGGGCGTGGAGGGGGGCCATGTTACCAACTAGATAACTATGGAGCGCCAAGATATTATGACGGATATTGCGGGAGGCCGGTGTATGATAGCTGGGTTGGAGGTCGCGGTGGCGGTGGCTATTGTTACAAAATTAATAGATGTGATTACTTTTGCGAAGAGAATCCTAATGCAGTTTGCACAATCATGTAAAAGCAATGGTGGTGCATGCATCATTCGTCGTTGTCTTGAACTTAGCTGGTTTCACTATAGTTACGTTGTTTGGTGGGATTTGGGTTTGGTTTTAATTACAAATGTTGTATAGGACAATAAAGATAAAAATAAGGTTGGAGATGTTATTATACTTCATTATCGACTAATAAATAGTTAATCCATTATTAATTTCATTTTAATTGCTTCACATGTCATATTATATATCTCTTTTTGTTAAAAAGAGTGTGGTCGGTTATGTAGTGGTGTCATAATCATACTCCTTTATGTAACATCCATATATCAAATTTATTGTATACATATAATTATCCAATTAAGTTATACTTGATAAGTGATTGTGTTTATACTGTCTCCCTCGACAAGAATAACTGGAATACTAACCGAATTATTAGGAGATTGCGCAATAGAAAACATAACACAATATTTATATGGTTTAACATAACTCGTCTATTATAGTTTCATAAACACGATGTACAACAGTACACAACACCATAAACCCGATATATAATTAATATAACATAAGTAATCCCAGTTTCTAATTCTACTGTGGGTGTTTAATAACTGTTATATCAAATACTTTTCCCATATTTATAGGTAGTATATGGAACATTTTATTTCTAATAGGATTCATATTTCAATTTTTATTTAGACTTCTATAATTTTATTTCTATTTATAATTATATTATTTATTAAATAATTTTCCTAAAAACATATAATTTTACATGAGAATAAATAGGAAAATAAGCTACATTATCCAAACACGAGAAACAATATTTCGATACATTCTAATTTGATCCCTAGTTTTAGTGGTGGGTATGTATCTTTTCATCAGTATCTTCTTTNGAAGGAATGTTTGAACAAGATCAAAAATACAAGATGAGGTGTATGACGAGAAGCAGAACACAGTAAGGATCAAAGTGGTGTATTGTAATCCTGAGAAGATCAAGCAAAAGACTTGCTGCAAAGGTGGTGATTCCATCAAGAGTATTGAAATTTTACCTCCACCCAAGCCTAAAGAACCTGAAAAGCCTAAATAACCTCCAAAGACGAAAGAACCTGAAAAACCAAAAGAACCAGAAAGGCCTACACAGAAACCAATGGATCCACTACCGGCACCACCCATACCCGAGCGACCAGCTGCACCGGCGACCACGCCCCAGCCACCACCACCACCAGCACCAGCGAAAGCAGAGCCGCCAAAACAAGACAAGCCTTTGGTTACTTTTGTTGACCCACTGCGAAAACCGGCAGCAGGCCAGGGCCGTCTCAAGAATATTTGTAACCCTAAACAAGAGTTACTTTGGGGTCCTTTTAATAATATAAGTATATATTAAAAATTTATTTCAAATTTATTTTTCTTACCTTTTGAGAAGCAAAATCACTGATTTAATGTTTGTATTCAAGTTTAGAAACCAAATTTTTTTCAATTGATAATATAGTCAAATTACCTAATCTTTATTGTGAGAGCGAGAGGTGGATGGCGAGCTACCGGGGTCAGGTAAGTGAGGGGTTTTGGGGAGGGAGTTGAGGGGACGAAGATGGTGGTGTCGGGGAAGGTCAACGACAACGGATACATGCCAGAAATGGCTGTCGCATGCGGTGAAGAATGAAAATGGGTTGCGAAAATTAGCAAAAATCAACCAAATTGGGGGTTGTCAAGGCTGGGAAAATGTTTCGAAAATGATTAAGTGATGAATCCGGTCGATTTTGGTGAGAAAATTGACCGGAATCATCACTTTAACGCCGACAATGATACTATGGCGGCGTAGATGGATGGACATGCAATTTTTTCATCATTTTAGGGATTGAATGGGTGTTTTGAAATTTTAGACATTTAAATAACTAGTTTAGTTAATTTAGGGGTGTGAATAGAAAATATGAAACATGATTTTTTTTTGTAAAAAAATTATAATGAATTTAGGCCTTTTTGGCTTTTTTGGGGCCCTTTGGACCCGTTTGGATAAAAAAAATTATAAACTTTTTTAGGTCACAATGAAATTTTTGTAAATCCATTTAAAAAAATCTTAAAATAATTTTGGGCCCCAAAAGGTAGGTGCCTCACCTGCCTACCTCTTGGGCCGGCCCTGCTCCCCACCATTGGGTTATCCGACCCCGGTTGGAATGTGTTGCAGGGAATGGTACGAGGGGCGTGGAAGGGGGCCATGTTACCAACTAGGTTGCTATGGACCGCCAAGATGTTATTGCGGATATTACTGGAGGCCGGTGTATTGTAGCTGGGGTGGCGGTGGTGATTGTTACAGAGTTAATGGATGTGATTACTTTTGCGAAGAGATTCCTAATGAAGTTTGTAGAATCATGTAAAAGTAATGGTGGTGCATGCATGAGAAGCTGGTGGTTTCACTATAGTTACGTTGTTTGGTGGCATTTGGGTAGTTTTTGTTTTGGTTTTTGTTAAAGAGAGTGTTGTCGGTTAGGTAGTAATGTCATATTCATACTCTTTTAATATACATCCACATACCAAATTTTATTGTATATACATTATATATAATTATCTAATTAAGTAATACTTAATGATATTGCTCTCCTTTCTAAATATTATATATGTTTGGTAAGATTCTCCACTCAATTATAATGGTCCTCACGAATTTACTGGTGATTTAATACACATATGCATATAGACTCGGAGAATAAGAGGATGTTGGGATGATGCCAGAGAAAAGTGAAAGTCCATTAATAAAGTAACATTACCACTACCAGCAGCCTCACTCAAAGTTAATTTATTGCAGGTCCATCAACCATGTGCACTTCAAGTTTTCCGATTAGTGAAGTCGCTATCCTTCATTTGAATAATCTTCATTAATCTTAAGTAGTGTTGATTGATTCATCGATCAGATCTTAATGCTTCATTTTGCCAAATTTTGTTAGTTAAATGATCTTAAAATATTTGTTACCACACAATCTTTATGTAATCTATAAGAAATTAAATTCATTTCCAATAAGGAATGGGAAGATCGAGAGCCACTAACTTTATTATTGTAAGATGATTGAGGAGTAATGGTTTTTTAATTAACATCATAGACATCAACTAATCCCCCTTATAGTTAAATATTTAAGTGAATTAGAGAGATGAAATGCATGATCCTGATTGATTTGTGGAAATTCGAAGGTATATTATATAGTGAGCCGATTGTGATAACGTGCATAATTGAAAGTTTAAAGTAAGATTACTTAACCTTGAATCCTTCAATGATTTTTTGGAGTCATTTGGAGGTCAATAAGTGTACGTCAGTTGGAGAACGTCACCTCAGTGGGGCTTTAATTTTGTAATTGACTCTCCTTTAACTGCAATTTGGCTTAATTAATGTTTACATAAGAGAAGTTATTCAGGTGTATATATAAATGATAACCAGTCTTAATCTTTAAGCATTGAGGTTGAGATCTTATCAACACTCTCAAAGATGGCGGAGGTTTGCAGATTAATCTCATCTTCCTTATCTCTCCTCTCTTATTTTCTTCTAAGTATTTGCATCTTTTATTGATAATCGCAGGGTACGATAATGGTGATCAAAGTTGATCTAAAGTGCTGCAAATGCTACAAGAAAATCAAGAAAATACTGTGTAAAATCCCCCGTGAGTCACTCTCTGTGTGTTTTGATTTGTGCATGAATATGTAAGCTATTGGATTTGATTAATTCTCTTGAACTTTGATATATAGAAATACAAGATCAAGTTTACGATGAGAAGAAAAACACAGTTACGATAAAAGTGGCGTGTTGCTGCTGCCCTCAAAAAATGATGCAAAAGATCCGCTGCAAGGGCGGTAAGTCAATCATAAGTATAGAAATCAAACCGCCTAAGAAACCTGAAAAGCCTAAAGAGAAACCACCCGCACCCGCACCAGCACCCACACCCGCACCAGCACCAGCACCCGCGCCGGCGCCGGAGCCAGCACCAGCACCACCACCAGTGAAAGAGGAGCCACCTACTAAAGTTGTTATTAAACAACCACCACATCAGCCACCCAAGACACCGATATTGGTCTGTACGCCGGGCCATGCCTACCCAATCCCGTTTGGGGAGTGTTGCAGGGAGTGCTCCGAGGGGCGGAGAGGGGGGCCATGTGAACAGCTTGCTTATGGGAGACCTCCATGTTATGGTGGCTATTATGGAAGGCCAGTTTGTGATAGTTGGGGTGGTGGCTGCGATTGTGGTTGCAACAGGGGTTATTATTGCAGGAATCGTTGTGGCTATTACTATTATTGTGAAGAAAACCCTTCATCTTGCTCGATTATGTAATCACATTATGCTTCATTGATGCATATGGTCATCGATCAATCTTCTAGTTTGATTATTTTTCTTGATGGTTTGTTAAATGTTAATTACGTGGAATATTCATAGATAAGTTTTTGTGGGTGTGGGCATGTGTCTTTCCCTTCTTTGATAAGTTGTTGTGGGAGTGGAAATATTGTAATCCTATTATTGTAAAAGGTGCCATTTTTTATTTGATTCCTTTTTCTTTTCTCTCAATTTCTCATCATTATCTTTTTTTTTTTTTTTTTTTTTTTGTCCTTTTTTTATGACAAGAGGTACCTAGGCTAACTTACGCGTACCAGCCTACAAGGAGATGAATATAAGGTGTTACAAATTCTTTCTACAAAGAAATGTACACAGAGATGAATATAAGGTGTTACAAATTCTTTCTACAAAGAAATGTACACAGAGAGATGAATTAATACAAATTGCTTGAACTCGTTCCTCTCTATCGATCGCTCAGAAATGCATATTATATTAGGGAGTTGCTATTCTTACAAAGAAGCCTACAAAAGAGGCATACAAAGTTAATCTCCACCCTTCATCTTCATCATTTCTCTCTCTCTCTCTCTTTCTTTTTTTCCGTTTTTCTTTTGTTTTTTCTTTCACTTTGTAAGCTACTTTGTAAACTTCTTTGTAAGGATAGATTTATCCATTATATTATTCCACAATATGGACAAACTTAAGTTGTCATCAGTATCATAATTAAGTTACTTAATTAACATATTTAACCCAGAAAATATGGGTTTTGCTGTAATACCCCGTACTTTTTTGTATGGAGTTTTATTAAATTTTATTTTGTGATTCTGGGGGGTAAAGTATAATAATTTGAAAGTTTTGGGGATTAAAAATCAAAATGAATGAGTGAGGAGTAAATTAAAAATTTTTAGATATTTTGATGAACAGTGACCATTCAATGAAACGAAAAACGGGGAAGAAGAAGAAGAAGAAGAAGAAAGAAAAAGGAGAGGAAAAGAGAGAAGGAAAAGGAGAGAAAGAAGCAGAAAAGAAAGAAGAGAGAGGAAGATGGAACCAATAATAGAGAGAGGAAGGAGAGAAGAGAACAATGGAAGTGGCTGAAAAAGTGGCCGCCGGCGAGGAAATTCCGGTGATTGGAAAGAGCAAATGGAAGGCTAGTAAAGCTTGATATTTCCCTTTTTTGGTGATTTATGATTCAATTGGTTTAAAGAATTCTCTTTGGATTGTTTTGTCTATGATTTGGTATAAATTCATGAAAACAAAACTAAAATAGGGAGATTGATTTCAATAATTTGGTGTGGGTAGAATATACATGTGTTTCCTAAACAAAATTTGCTTAAAGATGTGATTTTGATATAAGGGTTCACTGTATGAAAATCTGACCATCTGGAATTCCGAAAATTATTTGTATTTTTTGGGTTTTCGTTTGAAGCTGAATTTCGGATATGCTGTTGTAGACTTCTTGAGGAGTGTTTAGAAATTTATTTCACTCAAAAACTCGAAGGATTGAATTTTATATGGATTTTTGAAATTGCCTTGTGAATTTTGGAATTTTCGTTTTCTGCAGAACATTAATTTTTGGAAAATGATTTGATTCATCTATTCTTATCCAAATTGAGTGATTTTAAATTCAGGTGAGTCCTATATGTGTCTAGTTTAATTCTGGAGGGTTTCATGAGGTTTGGATTAATGGCTGAATTGTTATTAATTTTTCAATTCAGTAACCTCAATTCTGGAAACAGGGGACACACTTGAATGAGTTGAAAGACAATTCTGTTTTAAATAGTTATTGATACCAGAATGACTTGAGAAAATTATAGGGACAACTTATGTGTCTCTAGAACGCCCTGTTAAAATTGTGGCTTAAAATAATGAATATAATTTTTAAGAAAAATCCGAGAGTGACCGATGTTCGATTATGAAATAGTTTTGTTAAAGAAGAAGTTATGTTAATCTTTTGGTGTTTGAAGTGTCCAGTGATTTTAATATTGAGGTGTTACCTTATGGGACTTATGTATGAAGGATTTATTGGATTTTGTATATATAGAGGCAGGTGGGGGCATTATTAGAAGATTTTAATCATTTTTCGGCTTAAGGGTCGAGCTTCAAATGGTGACTGGAAAAATCTAAATACCTAACTTTCTTTTCAACAAAGTTATCTCTAAATGCTCTTTTATACTTGTTGATTGTTTTAAATTGCCAAATATATTTGATTTATTTATATAAATGAGCTTTATAGCAATGTTATTGTTGGAAATTGTTGATTGACATGAAAAAGATGGAATTTTGATGTTTTGTGGCAATAGTTCGAAAAGAAATGAAAATGGGTTGAAATTGTTAGATTTGAAAACATTTGAGAACCTGCATTTATATTTTTAAGTTGTGAAATTATTATATGCTCATGAGAAAAATGTTTTGAGAATAAGTATGGGATGATAGTGGGTTTCAAACCACCCTACATAGTACCCATCCATCTCATGATGTTGATTTGATTTTACACATGCGTATGATTTGATATTGCCGGCCCAAGTGGGTCGAAGGCTCGAGCGAGAGAGATATCGCTACACATGATTTGATTTGCCGGCCCAAGTAGGTTGAAGGCTTGAGCGAGACAGATATCGCTACACGGGATATGATTTTGCCGGCCCAAGTGATGCTTGGACTCACTGGGTCAAAGGCTTGAGCGGTGACCGATTCCGCCTAGCAAGATGGATTTAGTGGTTCAACCCTTGCGATGTTAGATCTTGCCGGGTTGGACAGATTTACCCCTGGGTACTAGTTGGGTGAGAGTTTTCACATGTCATTTAGAGATGGTTTGGATATGTATATATATGTATATCATTTATTTGAAAATGGGAGATTATAAATGTAAATGTTATCCGTATATAACTGTTTCTTAGAAATTATATTTTTAGAGAAACCTGAGTGTTGATTCGTTTACCATAATAGTGTTCGGAAAGAAGTCTTGCCATGAGAGATTTCAACATGTGTTATGAAAGATGACTTATATTATAAAATGTGTTATGGAAATTAAACTTTATAAGCATGAGTACTTTTATTGTATATTGAAATGTTTTATTACATACTAACACATTCCCCACTCACTGAGCATTTCTAGGTCACTCCTCGTTTTCAAATGTTTTTCTTTCTCCCCCACCAAGTCAAGAAGGAGATCGTACAGAGGAATGAATCTTACTCAAGGTTGGGTTGCACGACTTCATTTAATCATATATTCTATAGTTGTGTTTTATTTTCCATTGCAAAGTTTATGTTTTCTTTATCATGTATTTATTTCTTGTTCTGGATTATTAAAGATATGAAAAAATCTGATACTATATATTTCATTTTATGAAAATTTCAGTTACATTTGTTTAGTTGCAAATGACATTACATTTATTCTTGAGAAAGAAAAAATAAAATAAAAGAGTGCTTATAAATGTTCTGGTTAGAAGAGTTTTACGATGTTTTATTCATAAACAAGTTTTATAGTTTTTCCACATGACACGTCTCGATTATTTGAGTCTCATGGGTGTGCCCGGAGTCTATGGGATAAGGAAGGTTGGGACGCGTTGTGTCATTTGTAGTCACAGGGGCTAGTACAAAATTGTTGAATATTAATAAAATCCCTACCACAGGTGGGTAACGGTAGCATTTCCATATCAACCGACGAAACCTAACAAAAAGCAAGACATTAATTCATGAAAACAACTTGGATCTGTGATTAGAAATATAGGTAAATATTGGAAAGTGATTATATATAAATGATAACGAGTCTTGATCCTTAAGCTTTGAGGTTCAGATTTTATCAACACTCTCAAAGATGGCGGAGGTTTGCAAACCGATCTCACCTTCCTTAACTCTCCTCTCTTGACATTTAATTTTCTTCTTAAGTAATTAAATTTTCTGATTAATTATCGCAGGCCATGATAATGGTGATCAAAGTTGACCTAAATTGCAGCAAATGCTACAAGAAAGTCAAGAAAATACTGTGTAAAATCCCCGTGAGTCTCTGTGTGTGTGTGTGTGTGTGTGTGTGGTTATATTTGTGCATGAATATGTAAGCTATTGGATTTGATTAATTCTCTTGAACTTTGATATGTAGAAATACAAGATCAAGTCTACGATGAGAAGCAAAACACAGTTACGATAAAAGTGGCGTGTTGGTGCTGCCCTCAAAAATGATGCACAAAGATCCGCTGCAAGGGCGGTGAGTCAATCATAGTATAGAAATCAAACCGCCAAGAAACCTGAAAAGCCTAAAGAGAAACCACCCGCACCCGCACAGCACCTCGCCGGCAGATCCCGAACCTAAAGACAAGCATCCTACTAAAGTTGTTATAAACAACCACACATCCGCCACCCAAGACACCGATATTGGTCTGTACGCCGGGCCATGCCTACCCAATCCCGTTTGGGGAGTGTTGCAGGGAGTGCTCCGAGGGGCGGAGAGGGGGGCCATGTGAACAGCTTGTTATGGGAGACCTCCATGTTATGGGGGCTATTATGGAAGGCCAGTTGTGGATAGTGGGGTGGTGGCTGTGATTGTGGTTGCAACAGGGGTTATTATTGCGAGAAATCGTTGTGGCTATTACTATTATTGTGAAGAAAATCCTTCATCTTGCTCGATTATGTAACATCACATGACTTCATCGATGCATATGGTCATCGATCAATCTTCTAGTTTGATTATTTTTCTTGATGGTTTGTTAATTACGTGGACTATTCATAGATAAGTTTTTGTGGGTGTGGGCATGTGTCTTTCCTTCTGATAAGTTGTGTGGGAGTGGAATATTGTAATCCTATTATTGTAAAAGGTGCCATTTTTTATTGGATTCCTTTTTCCTTTTTCTCTCAATTTCTCATCGTTATCTTTTTTCTTTTTTTTTTTTTTATAACCGACGGTATCTAAGCTAGCTATGCAAATTTCAACCAATCTCTCAAGATTTAAAACTATCAGTCAGGTAAGAACTTCAGTGACCCACTATTAACAATCAAGGAGAGACTCG